ATGTGCCACACTCTTTTCTGTAAGTATCATTCAAGATCATTTTTTCGTATACAGATTCTCTTATAGAGTAGTGCAACTACATATTAAGTGGCTGTTCATTAGAATAGAATCGAAGCCGGTTGGTGTCAAAACTTTGATGGTGAGCGCGGTGACAGTCCTGAATTTCAGTGATCAGTTTGGGTGCAAGAAGAATCTGAAAACTCGGAAAACGATCATGGCTGTGACAACCATTGTCCTAGTAAGTTTGTACCATTTTGAAGAACGGTTCGGAAGTGAGATTCATGGAGAGATCATGTTTTTCGCAATGGGTAGTACTTGATTGCGTAGTAATTCTGCGCATTTAAATTTCTGTGAATGGGGTCGGGGTTGTGGCGCGGAAGTCGTCTCTGAAGGGGGTTGTAGGTTTACATTTGTGAAATTTTCACGTGGGAAGCTCTTTAAGTAATGATTTCCTAATTTCGAGTTTTCAGCAACCCTATTTCCCCTCCTTTCAGCTTCACGCCCTTTCGAAAAGGATTCGTTCTAGCAGATTATGCCAGCTACGTTATTCTTCACACTGTCCTAACTCTGTTTTGGAACGGGAAAAAAAAGTTTAATGTGTTGTAGTAAGAGGTGATTCCCTGTTATGAATCATAAGCTTTTATCAGTTTGCCTGAAGTGGCTATAGGCCTTGGACGAAGACGATCTGAACAAATATTGCCTGCATTGAACATCCGTTTTTATTACCCTCAACTCCGCCTTCGTCGTTTTTCAGTTTTGGGAATACAAACATTAGAATGGCTTTTTTTCGCCGAAATCGTACCGTTTCAAATCGTTTGTGGGGAGTTTTTGCGGTACTTACGTGATGTGTGGAACAACGTTCTTCGCATCTAAAAAGCTTTTTCAGGAACAAAAAAATCTGCTTAAAGGATTTTATTCGAAGAGACTAATTATAATGCTGAAAAAGCGTGATGTATTAGCTACTTAACCCAAGATAGTTTTTTTTTTTTGATAAATTTTGATCTTTCCGATTGCTCCCACCTGTCCATACCTACTGTATAGGTTCAGTCTCTTGTTTTGCAACTCCTATAACAGCTCAGAATGACAGTTTTCTTTCGCACCACTTTTCTCTTTGCCCTCCTTCCTTGTTGCTGGGCTCTCATTCCTTTTTTACATCTACTGCTTGGTACATCGTCGGAGCACCGTTGCTACTTCTCCAGTCATCCTTTTTATCTACGATCATGCACTAGCTGACACCAAACAATTAGAGAGTCTTGCATGTTCAGTTGATTGATGGCGACCTGCTCCATTGAGCTGCGCCACGCATTCACTTTCTAAGTGATTGCTAAGGTGTCCAAATTGGTACTGAATCTATACAGTCCTTCATAATCGATGCGCTGCTTCCAGCGTGTGCTCCCTAGGGTAGCTGATTGCGTAAAGATTAACTTCAAAGCTTCAGGGAAGTCTTGGGCATGACGTATCCGAATCGATCTGAGTGGCTTTTAAGTTGTCAGCTTTTCTATCCCAAATAAATGAATAAATATATTCAATGGGAAGTAGGTAGAAACTAGAATAGTTGTAGAGTTGGCTGTTTTCTTCACAAAACGATGCAAATGAGGATAACTTACCTTTAAATAATCCTTTGCAGATCTGGGTCCTGTCCTTTTCGTACAGAGAAGAATGCTAGTTGCTCTGCTAGTGGCATTGTTGGCTCAAAGTCTTTCGATTACAGGTTTATCTTCGTGGATGTTAGACTTTTGTACTTTTGTGAAACTATAAATATGTAGTGATGTACTATGGTTATAGCAATAATAATTCAAAGTAAAGGTAATATAGTAAGTATGGTGTAGTATAGTATAGTGTAGTATAGGATAGGATAGGATAGCATGTTCATTATCGTCACTTCTAACTATCGTTGTGGAATTTCTCACTGTCTAGGTGCGAATGAGTTTTACTACGAGGTACAGGGAAGCCTGGATGGCATCGCGCATAGCTCGCACAACAAAGAAAAGGTGCAGGAGAAGCTGAATAGTGATGTGAGATATTCTATGAATGAAAAGTCGAATTACCCCATGTACGAGTTTAATTTTAAAGTTCTATTTCATCAGATCTCTTCGGCGCTTTCACGGAATGATGTTGTTATACGAGTGGATGAGTGAGTCACTTTTGTCTACAAATTTGTCGTTTATTATGATTTTTGGATTCAAACTGTACCTACAGTAATCATCCGATACATAAAGTAATTAAATGCTGTCTACATCTCGCGTACTGATAGGGCAATGGGGTCCGTATGGGTGACTACGAAAATCTGGTCTACCGGTTTGACCGACTAGTTCTAGGATCCCTGTTCGCCAATACTATCATGAACAAGAGAAGGTAATGGTTGCTTAAGGCAGCCTGTCAGCCCATGGGACATGATGGGAAGGCAGTGCTGTAATATGTTATCTATAACGTATTGAAATCTGTAATGTAAATATAAATATCCAATAAGATAGTTAGTCAAAATGTAATTTCGAATGAAACAGTGAGATGCGTGAAATACTTGACGCTCTGGTTGTCCTTCCGAAGGCGCCATGTATTGACCTATTGTTCAACTGAGAAGGTGGCCCATTCCATTCAGGTTCATGTCCAATCATGCCTTTTCAGCTTCAAGCTCCGTGCAGTGCCAACTAAGTCTTTGATTGAGACTTTTTCAATTCGTTAATTTGGTCTTGCATTGCGTATTCTGCGTTAAATGGTGGACCCCAATAACTATATATGAGTACAAATTCAATCTATGTTGAAGTCTTCGTTTTCTGAGCAAGACGACTGCAGCTTCAAGTAGATCAGCTGACTGATGCTGTGATAGAAAATTTTGAAAAAGAGGAATTCGAGTAATTAACTGTTCTACCTCAATTGCTGAGTGTCTTTGTCAAGAAAATTTGTTAGTTTACCTTATTGATCTTTCAAGCAATTTTTATGTGCCCAGATTTCCGTCCAATTTAGAAGTGGGTTTGATGAGCCCTCAGAGAGTGCAATATTTCATGGATATGTTACTACATCAATATCGAATCGAAGCGATCTTATCGACGCATTACAGTCCGTGCCTACAATCGTCATTGTATTTCTTGCTTCTAGAGGTGAGTCATTTTCTGTGAACTCAGATGCGTATTCATTGCATTCTCGATGTTAAGGCTTCCGAGCTCTCCAGAGATAATTTACATTTAAAACCACCGGGTACGGTAATATTGTATGGAAATAAGCGTAACGTTCTAAGCGTGAGGCAACTCTTTTAGGGTTGCAGTTCTTTTTACTAGCATATTTTCTTTGTCGTTTAAGTCTTCCGAGCAATCGGCCTTTCTGCTTAATTTGGTTTTCAAGGAGTAACTATTTTTTTCACTTCTACAAAGTTTTAAGGTAGCGCAAATAGTTGGTTATCAAGGAAATTAGGGTGAAAATTGGTAAATAAGAGAAGTATCAATTAAGAAGCGTTGTC